GACCTGGAGTCCAGCAGGCCCTTGGCTTCAACCTTGACCATCATTGTGAGTTTCTACTCCATTTCTGGTTCAATGGACTATATATCTTGTTTTGGGGCCTAAGTATGTCTTTAATTTTAAATATTTTATTTTTCATTTTTTTGGTGCAGTACAAGAAGCTCAAAATACAAACTCATAGAGCCATATTATTTGGAATCTGCTCTTTATCCCCAAGACATTGATGACAAATTGTTTTATTGTCATTACCACAGCAGAAAAAGTACTGAGAGAAAATTCTGCCAAAAAGTGGCTGTAACTCTCTCTACTTTGTTCCTAAGCCTCTTGCTTGTGATGCAGATATTCTTAGTCCTGTCCTCAACTCCATTCAGATTTACCTTTTGGTGTAAGAATTAGAGAAGCAGAAAATCAGTTACTGGTCTGGAATGACCAACACTATAGGATCATTGGTAGTTTTTTTTTTTTTAACAGTTACTTTTTAAATAAAAAAAAATTGAACAGGAAAAAATGATTAAATTACAGAGACCTCCCATTCTCTGTGTAAGATAAAGTTGTTCAGTGGAGTTAGAAACAAATCCAGTCTTTCCTGGGTGTTCTGATCCTCTCTCTGGAATTAGCACTTTACATCTTAAGATTCCTGTTGTCAATCACTGCTTTCCTGTACCAACAGGGAATCTCACAATTATGTAACATTTTCTTTTTAACCTAACTGAAACAGTTTATTGTCTACTTTCATCATGTGTAGTATTTCAAGTGGTTCTCTTTTTCTCAGATAATCTGGAGATGGAAGGAAAGAAACACCTCATTTTTGTTATTATCTTTCTTAGCAAACTCTTACGTTCTCACTAAAGCTCCACAAACATGACAACACATGCATCAGGCCACCTGCTTCTGTTTGTGTGGCATAAGTAGATTCCTCTCAGTAGTAACATTGCAGTTACTATAAAGTATCTGAAATTATGAGGGATTCTTCATGTGGTTTCTTTTGGAAATTGATTTGTTTGCATTGGTAGAATTTATGCCTTGATATTTGAATTTCTAATAATTTAAGGAAAAAGCTTAGATGAAAGGGAACAAAAAATCTTCACTGAAACACAGAACTGTTTAGCAATAATTAATAAGTAATTTTCTATGATCATCTAGCTATTGAGCTCTTCTCTTTCTTTGATAATTTCTAAGAACCTGGATACGGGAACTAGACTAAGTTCAAATGATTCTTCTATTTATTAGCTATGGGGCCTCAATCAATTTACTTAACCCCTCTGTACTTTGCTTTTCTCATCCATTAAATGGGGCTTGAGATTATAACTACTTCATATAGATATTGTATGTATTTAATAAATTCATACATGCAAAACACTTTAACTGTGCCGAGAACATAGTTAATGCTTAGTAAATAATGCTAAATTATTTTTTATTGTCTACTATATGCAAGACTTTATTTTAGGCAATAAGGATACATTGGTGATCATGACAGAAAAGTTCTCTGCTATCAAAGAGCTTTAGTGGGGAAAAACATAGTAAATAAGTAAAACAAATTATTGAGATAATTCTAAGTATTAATAAGTACCATAAAGAAAATAAAAAAGTTTATAATTTTCAACACTGGAATTGAAATTGCTAACCAAACACTTATTTTGTGGTTGAGCAAAATAGGTGGGCCCAGTGATAGATAGTATCACAAATTCTCAGAATTGTACATAATTTGACCTGGGACCATATAAAAGATATGAAGAATGGGTCTAGAGCATCAGCCTAATTCTGTGTGTGCCAGACACTTGTATTGGAGGCTTACGTCTTCATCTTTAGTCAATCCTCTTCTGTTGCTATGGGCCACTCTTCCTGCAAGGATTTCTCCTTTTGCTGCTTACTTTATTATTCTAAGTTTAACAATATACATATAAATGGGATCATTTGCTTCCAAATTCACCGTTCCAATGGGCTGCAGTCTAGATGAAGGCTGAATCAATTATTATTTTGTTTATCTTGCTCTTTATCTTGTATTAGACTTGATTCCAATGGGTATATGTCATAACTGATTAGTCCACATACAGGAGTAGCAGAAATTGAATTACTGTAGAAAGCCATTGAGGTTATAAAAATCTGTAGCAAATAAATAATGGGACAATTTATTTTGCCTATTGTTCATTAGGTTGGACTCATTAGGTTTCATAGGTAGAATCATAAGGCCAAAAATGATAATACTTCTGAATCTGCAGTTTATTGCCAGAAGAGGACACACTATGGCAAGATCATAATATATTAGGACATTGGTAAGCAGTAGGGATATTCATTGCAGCCAGAGGCTACCTCACAGCAAAGAGTCTGGGGAAGCCAGTAGTAACTTCCCGTCATCCTCTCACAGCAGGGCTGTATCAGACGCTCTTTCCTTTTCAGATTAGAAACAACTAATGTGTGCATGGAACACCACAGGACCAGAAAGCCCAACACTGAGTTTCAGGCAGGGCTCTTGTACTCCACTGGCATGTAGGCACTTCATTGCTATGTTACCAGAGCCAATGTAGGACTCCTCTGGGGGTCTCGTTGAAACTGGGTGCACACCATCAATCTTGCTGATAGGCTAGTATAAATTAGCCCCAAACAACACTATTAAAAACTGCATTTCATGCCTTGACCAGATGTCAGTGTCCTGCAGGTAAATCTCTGATTTCAGAAAAACAGCTCAGGCCAATTCCAGACCTCCTGGGATTAACCCTCTTAGCACACCTATTTTAATGATGAATTAAATCTAATCCCTTTAAGGTTTCCATAGTTTCCTCTATATTTGGTATAGAAAAAAATTACTGCAGATTTCTGAGTAAGGGTATTGTATAGAATATTAATGTAGCATTGCTCTGATGAATCTGGATAGTAGAAATGCAGAGTGGTGGGTTTCGACTGATCTCTAATAAACTTCTCAGAGTATTAAGAGATTTGGGAAGACTTAAAACCTAAAGCAGTGATCTCTAGGTATCATTAAAGATTCATTAGAGTAAGTCACACCACAGAAGTTAATTTTATTTTCTGATATCTACATAACACAAAAATGTTCTGCTTTTAATTTCAAAGCATTCGACAAATGCTTTTGTGGTATTTTTGTGGACAAGAGGAAGGAATATGGTCCAGACAAATGGAACTTACATCTAGTAATACAACCTGAACCTACATTGTTCTTGCTAATGAATTGGTGCTAACTTGGGGGCAGATCTCAAAGAGGTATTCCATTTAATCATTATAGCTAACAAGATACAAATCTGGAAGACACAGCTAACATATTCCAACAATGCAAAGAGATGGCGATGAGCTATATAGCTGGGCCAAAATGATTTAAATTGAATATAATTGATGTCCATCTCTCATTTTGCAACAGCTAATATTCATCAAATACTTACGAGGTGCTAGATACTGTCAGGCCTTTTCAAATGTCAGCTCACCATGTCCTCACCACCTGATGAGGTCAGTATTTTTACTGCCTCCAGCACTTAGATGTACTCACAAAGTTCAGGAAATTTAAATAACTTGCTCAAGGTTTCAAAGCTTTTTCGTGGTGAAAGCAAGTTTCACAGGCAATTTGACTCTAAATCTCATGTCTCAGTTAGATTCAGGGTAAGGATTGGGGAAAGTTAACTAATAATCTTAGTAAAATATTTTAAATAGCCAACATGCTCACTGTAAGCCCTATGAAATAGCTTCTGCAGCTACTGGCAAACAGATCGCATTAGTTTCCATCTCTTTTTTTTCTCCATTCCACTGACATTTTTTAAAGAGTAGGTAATAAAATCTGGTTCTAATAATGGTATTCCTTTGCTGAAAATCTTTCGATAGCTCCCTTTTACCTAAATTCTTTTGCTGAACTTGCATTCATAGCTTCACCTCACACTACCCTTCCCACACTACCCACTAGTCACTTTAGGCCGCTTTGCACAAACTCATTCTGAATGTCCTAATTCCTCTGCAAATTAAATTTTTGACACCTTTCCCAGGTGAAATGCTGCCTCTTCCAGGAGTAGCTAAAAGGCTGAAAGAACTTTCTAACAAGAGTAAAAATTATTATCATGATTATTTTGTATTAATTATTCATGTACCAAAGGATACCACACACTGATTTTTTTAGTTCAATCACCTACTGAGTCTCATTCTTGCTTTCTCTTGAGAGAAATCAGACTCTCATATGCTGACCTTTTGTGCAAAACTAGATAAAGCATGAGCACAATCTGTCTGAAGCTCTTGCAAGAAAGCCACCCATGAACAGCTGTTTGTGCTGTGATAAAGCTTCCCTGGAGTACTGTGGCTCTCGGATGGGGCTACATAGTCCTGTGTGATTTTGTCAGAGATTCAGAAGTGGGATTGATTGAACTTAGAGTCCAATCAAAGTTGTCAATAACCTGTGACATGGGTTGGCTCTGTGTCCCCACCCAAATCTCACCTTGAGTTGAGATAATCCTCACATGTCATAGGAGGGACCCAGTGGGAGGTAATTGAATCATGGGGATGGGTTTTTTTCTTTGCTATTCTCATGATAGTGAATAAGTCTCATGATATCTGATGGCTTTATAAAAGGGAGTTCCCCTGCACAAGCTCTCTTGCCTGCTGCCATGTAAGATGTTCTTTTGCTTACCCTTCATCTTCTGCCATGATTGTGAGGCCTCCCCAGCCATGTGGAACTGTGAGTTCATTAAACCTCTTCTCTTTATAAATTACCCAGCCTTGGGTATATGTTTATTAGCATTGTGAGAACAAACTAATACAACCTATTCCCAAACACTGTCTACAGCATGTCTCCCAAGAAATTTTTTAATCTTCCCTGATGCCCCTGTTCATGTATGTACTTTTGTCCTCTGTTTCTTATTTGCTTCAAAACATGTGGTGCTTATCAATGAAGGAATATTTGACACTAAATATTTTCTATAATTTCTAAAAAATTATAGAAAACATTTTCCCTATCTCAATTCCAAGGATAGAAGTAATTCTTTATTTTTAATTTTTTTTTTTTAACTACAGCATTCATCAGGGATCTTCTTAGATTTGACCAAACATTAAGACAAACCACACTCTGGTTTGCTACACTTGACATCAGTCCACTCAGAGGACCCAGGACAACAACCAGAGCTGGTCCATAGGGCAGCTTCAGATATTTCGCTCCACAGCAGTCCTTGCAGCAGTCTACACAGCAGAAGGCACAACTGCCCATGGTCAACTCACTTATGAAAAAGTGAAATCCACGTTGCACAGGTGCGGGGGCTGCCCTGGCTTGAAAACCTCATGCCTGACAGGAACCAGTATCTGTTGTGATAATTCCATAGACAGAGCTTTCAGAGTCTCTACTCAGGGCAAGCCAGTTATAAGTCAGCACATTTAGAGAAACCCAAAGTTTGGCTTCACATCAAGGATATATAGCTCTCCCAGGTTGGATACAATCTGTCTATCAAGGGTCACTTCTTTTCATCATAATCAGTGCTGCTTAATAACATAGTTGACAACTACCATCTTTATTTCTTTCCCAGGTGACAGCTAGGATGTGAACCAAAGGTCATACCCTCACATAGAAACAAAAAGCATTTTGTTAACCCTTTTGCCCAAATATAAATTTATCGTAAATGTTATAATTACTTTTATTTTTTTGGACTGGTTGCAGGAAGTTTGAAATGTGAATTGCAAACAAGGGGTGAGGGAATCCTAATCATGGAGCATTGATTTGCTCAGATGATATTTGGATTATCTTGTTATCACTTACAGCTTTTTGGGGTGGCATAAAGCAGTAGCATCACAGTTTTAAGAAACTTTAAAAAAGATGAGTACTGTATTTCCCCTAATTATAATAGATTTGTTGAGCAATGACTCTCAGTCAAATACTTTAATTATGCTAGCTCGAGGAATCTTTAACATGATATGAAGTGCCTCTATTTTGTTAATGAGAAATTAGGACTTGGAAGATTAAACCATTTGGCTGATTCCACGAAGACAAATCCATACATGCTATCAATCAACTGATTTAAGATATTGCCTTTAGAACTTACTAATGAGTATTCACAGTTTTCAAAAGCTATGTATATTTTGTCATGTTCACTTAAGATAATGTCATAAACATTTTCAATAATTTTACCTAGTCTTAATGGTCATCATATATAAATACCAGCATATTGTTCTAATATACTGAAATATAATAATTTACTTAACAATACCCTCTTCTCACAGATATATTTTAGTTTCATTATTTCATCTCTGTAATTAATGTTGCTAGGGGCATCTTCCTGCATGTAATTTTTTTGGGGGAGTTCTTCGGTTACTTATCTCGTGATTTCTTCTGCTGTAAGGAGGAGAGAGTGATCATTTTTTTCCTAGATCTGATACAAATTATATTCTGCTAATTTTACTATTGTTTGACTTTATTTACATTTTTATTCCATATGGATTTATTTTGACTTTTAGAGAATGATGTGGATTCAATTTTTTTTTCCTAGTTGCTAACCAGTGTTCTTATTCCTTATTTAAAATGATTCTTTAATATTGTTTGTAAGAGTATAGTTGTAATAGAGGAAGTTCCTAAATATTTTGAGTCAATTTCTGATCTTTCTCTTCTAATTCACTGAAAGATATATCCTTCTGGGAAATAGTATCACGGAGTTTCAATTATTGTTTTGTGTAATACATAATTCGCTTTCCCCTTATACGCTGTTGATGTTTTGTGGCTATTGCTTGATATTTTCATTTGTTAGTTTTTCAAAATAAATTTCAGAATCATTTGGCTAAGTTCTGCAACATAAGAAAATCCCGATGAAATTTTAATTGGATTCCTCTAACTCTATAAATTAACCAGTCTAGACATTTTTGCAACATTTTGTCACCGCTTTCTGAAATACAGTGCACTTACCTACATGTTTCCCTTTCTCTCTCTGTCTCTCTCTCTATACATATAAACATATATATGTCTTAATTTTATTTTGACTTTCTTTAAGCTAGGTTGGTTATATATATACATATGAACATATATGCATGTTCTGTAATTATTTCATTTTTCACTATACCAAATGAAACACTTCTTTTTTCCATTGTGTTTAAAAAATTGTATAAAATATATTTTTTGACATAATATTACATGCCTACATTTAAATGTCTTATGTTTCAAAAATTTTGGCAGTTTCAAAATAATTTTTAGGTATACAATATTGATTTAAAAAATAATTGCTTTGTAACTTTCCAATACTTAAACAATTACTGAATTTCCCAGAACTTGCCAAATAACAATATCCTTAATTTGTTCTTGATTTAAAAGGATTCACTTTAAAAGTAAATGGAGAGATATGTATGTTTTGTTCAATAAAAAAGTAATTTGTAAAATTAAAGTAAATAATATTTTATCATTAAATTTTTTGGGGGGACAAACTACTCTGTAACAAATACAAATGAATTACTCTATTTTTTCTATTTATTAAAATAACAAAAAATTACCAAAGATATTTTGCATCTGTTGAAATGATGATGTGATTCCTATTATTTAGCCCATTTATATTGTATATTACAGTTATAGATTTCCTAATGTTGAGCTATGCTCTTTAATACTCTGAATTAACATTTCTGATATAATACTACTTGGTCAATGTATAAAAACAATGTTTTAAGGGGCTTCTTAACAAGTTAGAGTTAACTCACAAGTTGGCCATTAGGGTGGTGAAAGATGTTGAGAATGGCATAATCTCTTTAGCCTGGAGAAGAGAAAACTTAAATTACTTGCTTTAGAAAGAAAATCATGGTAATTTTTAAGTTTAAAGGACTTTTATCAGAGAAGATTATTTTAACTTAAAAATTTTCCAGAGGAAAGAACTAGTTAAAATGGGGTTAGAGAAATACAGATAGAAAACATTTTCTATTAACTTCAGAGTTTTAAAATTTAAATATCCCAGTTCAAATGATTTAGTCTCGTCATCAATATAAATGTTGAAGAAGAGGGTGGATGATCTTTGATCTGTAGAAAATCTTCAGCATAGGTCGAATTGTTGGTCTAGATGACCTTTTAGGTAGTTTCTAATTGCAAAACTATGAATCTGATTTTTTGCCTAAAGAACACATTATGTGTTATTATTTCTATTCTATAAATAGTTTTTGAAACCAATATGGTAGGCAGAATTCTAATATGCTCCCCCAAATTCCTGGCCCCTAGTATATTTGTTTTTAGATAAGAGGGTAGAAAAATCACTCTGTCATAGGCCTCTTATAAGTAGGGGGTGTAAAGTCCCTCAGAAGAGCAGAGAGAAAAAGAAAACCGCAGAAACTTAGATACCTAGAGACTGTGAATAATTTAAATTGAGAAAAAATGAGGATTAAATGTCTTAAAGAGAGTATAGAGTTGGTAGAAAGGTACATTCTGGAAAGTAATGAAAACTAATGTAACCATTTTATTTATGTATTTATTTTTATTTTTATTTGTTATTGTACTTTAGGCTCTGGGTACATGTATAGATCACGCAGGAATGTTGCATAGGTACATACATGGCCATGTGGTTTGCTGCCTCCATCCCCCATCACATATATCTGGCATTTCTCCCCATGTTATGCCTCCTCAACCTCCCTACCCCTGACTCCCTCACCTAATTTCCCAACAAATTCTAGTGTGTGATGCTCCCCTACCTTTGTCCATGTGTTCTCATTGTTCAACACCCGCCTATGAGTGAGAATATGTGGTGTTTGATTTTCTGTTCTTGTGTCAGTTTGCTGAGAATGATGGTTTCCAGATTCATCCATGTCCCTACAAAGGACATGAACTCATTGTTTTTTATGGCTGCATAGAATCCCATGGTGTATATGTGCCACATTTTCCTTGTCCAGTCTATCATTGATGGGCAATTGGATTGGTTCCAGGTCTTTGCTATCGTGAACAGTGCCGCAGTGAACATATATGTGCATGTGTGTTTATAACAGAACAATTTATAGTCCTTTGGATATATACCCAGTAATGGGATTGCTGGGTCAAATGGAATTTCTATTTCTAGGTCCTTGAGGAGTCGCCATAGTGTCTTCCACAATGGTTGAACTAATTTACACTCCCACCAACGGTGTAAAAGTGTTCCTATTTCTCCACATCCTCTCCAGCATCTGTTGTCTCCAGATTTTTTTAATGATCACCATTCTAACTGGCATGAGATGGTATCTCAATGTGGTTTTGATTTTCATTTCTCTAATGACCAGTAATGATTAGCATTTTTTCATATGTTTGTTGGCCTCATATATGTCTTCTTTTGAAAAGTGTCTTTTCATATCCTTTGCCCACTTTTGAATGAGGTTGTTTGTTTTTCTTATAAATTTGTTTTAGTTCTTTGTAGATTCTGGATATTAGCCCTTTGTCAGATGGGTAGATTGCAAAAAATTTTTCCCATTCTGTTGGTTGCTGGTTCAATCCAATGATTGTTTATTTTGCCGTGCAGAAGCTCTGAAGTTTAATTAAATTCCATTTGTCTATTTTGGCTTTTGTTGCCAATGCTTTTGGTGTTTTAGTCATGAAGTCCTCACCTATGCCTATGTCCTGAATGGTTTTACCTATCTTCTAGGGTTTTTATGGTGTTAGGTCTTATGTTTAAGTCTTTAATTCATCTGGAGTTAATTTTAGTGTAAGGTGTAAGGAAGGGGTCCAGTTTCAGCTTTCTGCACATGGCTAGCCAGTTTTCCCAGCACCATTTATTAAACAGGGAATCCTTTCCCCATTGCTTGTTTTTGTCAGATTTGTCAAAGATCAGATGGTTGTAGATGTGTGTCATTGCCTCCGATGCCTCTGTTCTGTTCCATTGGTCTATATCTCTGTTTTGGTGTCAGTACCATGCTGTTTTGATTACTGTAGCCTTGTAGTGTAGTTTGAAGTCAGGTAGTATGATGCCTCCAGCTTTGTTCTTTTTGCTTAGGATTGTCTTAGCTTTTGGTTCCATACGAAGTTTAAGGTGTTTTTTTCCAGTTCTGTGAAGATGGTCATAGGTAGTTTGATGGGGATAGTGTTCAATCTATAAATTACTTTGGGCAGTATGGCCATTTTCACAATATTGATTCTTCCTAACCATGAGCATGGAATGTTTTTCCATCTGTTTGTGTCCTCTTTTACTTCCTTGAGCAGTGGTTTTAGTTCTCCTTGAAGAGGTCCTTTACATCCTTTGTTAGTTGTATTCCTCATATTTTATTCTCTTTGTAGCAATTGTGAATGGGAGTTTGCTCTTGATTTGATTCTCTGTTAGTCTGTTACTGGTGTATAG